ACCCGCCGTGCCTTGCTCGCTTCCAGGAGAGCTCCAAGACGGGGCACGGCGGAGCCTCCCGGGGAGGCACCCGCTCTAGAAATGAGGAAGCGACGGAGCGGCGCTTGTCCCAGGTCATGGCAGAGCCCAGAAGAGACGCAATGGCCAGAACATCCAGGCTGTGCTCAAACCATGGAGGCGGAGGACAGCAGCTGGTGAGAGGAGGTCGCGAGTTTAGAAAGAGAAGGCTGGACTGTCAGCAGAAACACAGAGGAAGAAGAACAAGGACCAGGGAGGAGGAAGATGGGGGAGGATGAGCAGAAAGAAGGGAACCAAGACACCAAAACTGTTGCTGTCTGAGAGCCTGTGCACCACCACCATCAGGACGTGCTTGTGCTGGACCCAACAGCGAAGCGATCACCTGAGCAGCCACCCAGGAAACATCACAGCAAGACCTAACGGCTCATGTTATCTTAGAAGAGCCTTCTGGATAAAAGGGATTTGCGGGTAAAACCTCCATAATCCTTTTGGTTTGGTTTCTTTTAATACTATAAAGCAAAAAATAAACTTTCTAGTTAGCAAAAATATGGCTTTTGTTATGTTATGAGTCACTTTTCCCCAGCAGCAAACAAAGTGGCTTTTCAATTCAAGTGCTGAACATTTTAGAATCAAATGTTGCACAAAAGTCCTAAAGTAAATCACCGTTCTCCCCAGCCAGACTTCTTAAACATGTCAACTCCCTGCAGCCAGCAAAGCGATGGCAAGGGACCAGACTCACCTTGCCTGAACGGGGCGTTATGACTGATAAATTAATCTCTATTTTCAGATGAATTCGGGATGACCCGGTCCGCCGAGCAAAAACCAGAGATTTCATTTCTAACACCTGCTAATTCTACCCCAACTGTGTGGAGTGCAGAGCATCCCGTGCAAGGTGCGTAGCGTTAGATGTCACCAATCTGATTCAAAACACAATGAAATCAATTTCACAGTCCACTTTTGGAGTTCATTTAATTGGATTCTGGCTCATGTCTAAAACTTGTCAGCTTTAACTTCAAATTTCCTTCTTTTCTATTTCTGTTACAAGGTCTGTATCAAGTATTTCTAGAAATGTGGAAGAATCAGCTTCTCATAATAAAAGCATCTTAAAATCCAGTGTTCAGCTTTGCTATCAGAATTATCTTGACTTGTATTTCCAGTCCTTGAATGCAAAATGCCTTTTATTTTATTTCAGATTCAGCAAAATCTCCTAAATCAAAATCACTATTAAATCTCAATTCAACACTAGTAACATTCCCTCTCCAGACAGTAAAAAGTTATCCAGATTTTCCTGTGATTGCACCAAAGCCAAATCAACCACATTTTCAAACACAGGCAAAGGGGGTAAACACTCCAGATCCTACTCTCCCTGCAAAAAGGGCAATAAAAGCTGCACATGATACAGCCACAGAGTGCTCACTACCTGAAGCTAAGAAAATTTCCTCTTGCAAGGATACTACTTTAATAAAAGAACTAATCAACCAGCTTCCCAATAGCTGCCTACCTACGAGTAAGCAGGATGCGTTCAAAGAAAGCTGTGCTCTAAGTTATATTCATTCCTAAAGGCTAAATCTGCTGGGCCCACGACAAAGAAACAGCACTGTTTTACTTATCAATGTCCTACTGTTCATCTGGAACATCTGCAAAAGTTTTGCCTGCAGCACTACCCCATTCATTACAGCCCTTGATAGACTGTTCAATAGGCTTTTTTTTGGTACAAAATGTACAAAAGCGTTTTACAAAGTGGACTTTGCCCTGATATGAATAATAATTAAAAAAAAAATTAAAAAGTGCATTTTGTTTCAGTTTCTCCATTTTCCAAAGCAACGTTTGGCAAACGGAAACAAAATGGCAGCATCTTAAGACCTGATGGCTCCCTCCCTGTCATGAAGCAAGACAGGGTTTCTCTGCAGAACAGTTTCTTTTGCCCCATTGCCAAAGTGCATTGCTACCTACCAGACTGCCACTGATGAAAGACTAAACCACAAAATTTCATGAGCAAAAGATCAACCCCCCATCAAAAGAAGGCCACATTGCTTTTGTGCAGAGGAACAGGTAGGATTTGTAAGTCATAAATCCTCCCCTCCCTCCAACAAACCAATCCACACAAGAAAAGAGTGGTGCTTACCGTCATCCAGGTACGCTTGGTCCAGATTCTGCTCCTGCTTAATAGTGACTCCAGCTGGTAACACTTCTTTCTGGTCGCTACCTGGTGGTCCATTTTTTGCTGCTCGCTGGCCTGAGGCTGCCTGCTGCTGAATCACGGTAGGGTACGAACTTGGACTTAACCTTTGTGCTTGACTGACTTGGGGCTGGCTGGATCTTGCAACATTGGATGTAAAATTTTCGCAGCACATGATGTGCTGAAATTCCTGGTGACTTCCACACCTCAGCTGCTGGTTGGTTGGAGAATAGTGGATCACAGGAGAAGACTGCTGGTTGCCTGGAGAGTGGTGGAGCACTCCTGAAGTTTGGCCTGGGGAACCGGCATGCACCAGCACTGACCTGTGGGCATCTGAAATAGCCACCGGTGTGGCCATCAAGCTGGACTGTTGGTAGCCCAGCTGGCTTGGGCTAAGGCTCTTGCTTCTTTGGTATATTACGGCGGCTGGATTCTGCTGATGGTATCGAGAATCAGGAGAAGAAATGCCTGAGCGCAACTGCTGGCAGGGGGCCATAGTGGCCACAAGACAGGAAGGGGACTCGGTGACCATTGTGTGCTGTGAATAGTAAGGCTGTGTTACTGTTCCCAGACCACTGTGTACTGTATTGCAGATTAAGGCTGGATCATAGTCATCAATGGGCTCTGTTTTGATTGATGGTACTAGAATAAAGCATGCAAAGGATGTTATTCGTAATAAGCTGCGAGAAACAGAGGTTTTCCTTGAAGTAATAAAAGATTTAAGTCATTTACAAGGTTTGCACGTGTGAGCTCTTATCTCCTTGCTATTAGGTTTAATAAAACATGTCATTGCAATCATAGGAGACCCTCATGAAAACATTCTGTATTAAGATGGACATGAAAATGTCTACCCAACAATTTAAACATACGTTTCTGAAAATTTTAAAATTCAGTATTTTAACTCATTGTAATTCACTTAAATGCCATTCTAGATGGAACATAAGCAAAAGAAGCCAATAGTAGGTGTTTCTTGCAGCATTTCCATCTCAAAGAAAAGCTGAATAAAACAATTCCTATGGAGCATTCAGCTCCTCATTTTTTGGTCCAGCACTGAATTAGGCAGAGCTGAAATTAATTGAACTCTTAGGGTGATTTTTTTAGTCCCCTTGCCGCATGGATCTCCCTCAGTACTGACAGCTGAACACCTTTTGGACATCTGCGTTTAAAAGATCACAATTTCTACTTTAGTAAAATGTGGGTGAATCTTGGTGTGGATAAACAATGGTTCTCTGTAGACAAATACTAACTTTTTTACTGCCTTTTTAAAAAAATTTAAAATCTTTCCTAAAACTCAGTACAGAGGTACCATACCACGGAAACCATATGATGGTCATGCAAAGGGGTTTCATTACGGAAGTATAAGGTTTCCTTCTCTGAAGTGGTCTATTTGAAAGTTCATATTGAAATAATCCTAAATTTCTCAATAGTATTCCACTGTTTGGCAATGTAACAACTATACAATTCATGTGTGATGAAACAGCAAAGCCCTACATGAATCATAAATTCAGGGAGACGAGCAGAGAATTTTAGGCTAGAAGACCCTGAAATAAAAACCAGTACAAATGTTTGTCCATCCTTGGAAACTAGTGGAATTAAGTTTGTAATTAAGTCTGAAGCTTGCAAAAAATCTCATACTGTTATTCTGTGCTTTCTGTTTTTGCAAGCACAATACTCTGATTTTCTCACAATATTTTTCTCCCAGCCAAGGCAGATATATTCTGGGAATCTCATTAGCAATCCTGTTGCGTTTATTGTGAGATTGCTCATCAATTCCCAAGGGGAAGAACATCACAAAAGTGCTCATGTTTTTCTCAACCAAGCTCATTCTGAAAGTCTATATTGCTGCTCTTCCTCCACACCAAGCCCTTGTTATTTTCCCAGATCTGATGTTATCTTAGTGTGGTACATGTCAGCTGGGGAAGGCAGTGCCTGCTGTTTTCACAGGGTCACATCATGTCGCAGACTGATCTGCTCCCACTGGAGCTGTTGGCAAACTCCCATCAGCTGAGTGGGGCAAGATCAGTCCCCTGCCAGGATTTATGGGAAATTCCTGCTCCTAAATCATAGGCATCTTTTAAACCAAACATTTGTTGAGTGCTTAACTGCATCTCTGAATTAAATTGGTAAAATTTAGATCCCCAGATAATGTTGGAAAAACAAAAAAAAACAGAATGGCAAAAAATAAAATCTGGCTCCCGAAATATAATGACAACTTGCTCTGTCCTTGGGAATTACCTGGGTGGTAGGTAAAATGCTGGGGTTGGCTTCTTTTTCTCTTCCCATTGATGACATAGAAATTCACCTTCACAGGTGTGCGGATGTGCTTGTTACGGTATTCTGGTATTTCTACAAAAAGCATGCTCTGAAACGACAAAAGGCAAAAACACCTAATCTGTAAGTGCAGCCAACAGCAGATTGTTAGGCGCATCCTTCCTGTTACACGTTCAGGGTAAAGGAAATCTTCCTACACATCCCTAAAAAGAAGGACATATGAGGAAGAAGCAAAGAAAGGGTGGATAGAGCAGAACTTGAAAATTTCTGCTACTAGAAATTTCTGGTATTTCTAAGCATCCTCTATGGTACTGATGTTGTTCTAAACTTGAGAAGTCTCAGCTACAAACAAAATACACAGAATGGTCATAAAGGCTGCATCGGCGCTGTTAATCATCCTGTGCTTGATAAACATCTGTGCATTGCACAAATTCCTCTGTTTTTGTTACAATAAACTTGATTACTCTATAGGCTTATTACTTATACGCAGCCGGATCTCCCTTCCAAGGAAGTTCAGAGGGAGCGTCCCGGTCTCTTCCGCAAGAGCAGGGTGGCCCACGGCAATGCAAGTACCAGCTCCTCCAAGGCCCAGTGAGGTCCCATTAAGCAAAGCGAACAAAGAGGCTCATTCCCTCGAAAGACCAACATTAATTTTAAATAATATAGCACAAATCCTGTCCTGCAAAGCACAGAGCACCCAAGACTTCCACCCAAGTGAGAGGAAGTCAGACCCGCCAGCATCCTGCAGTGGGCTTTCAAACCCAGGCTGATACAATAGAGTCCTCTGCGAGAGCACAAAATCTAGCAGTTGTTCAACTTGCCGAGGGTTGCTGCTAAATGAATAGTTTCTTTTTGCCACACATTTATTGCCGAAGCATTTGACATTTGCTCATCACAGCAAGCTGGAGACACTCTTTGAAAACTACCCCTTGAATACAAGCTGCTGTGTGAGGCGCCCCGGGAGAGGACACCCAGCGACCCGCATACTTACAGGCTGGCTCTTATCTTTATCCACCGTGGCCTCCATCTCCCAGATCTGCTGCCCATCTAAAAGAATATCACAGGATTAACTTCACTGCGTTTTCAAAAAATCACAGAATGACCAAAAAAAAAAAAGACAAAGTAGGGGCATAAGGTTAACAAAACTCTCAAAACTGATAGCAAAACTCTCAAAACTCACTTAAAATTAAACATCTTTCCAGTCCTAACCAAAGTAATACCATTTAATTTTAATATATCCTTGAATGCTTCTCTGGGCAGGAAAAGGCTTACGTACATATTAGAATTAACTGTATTTGAATAAATTTGCTGAACTGAGAAATTAAATTTTCAGCACAAGGACAACACGTGCTTTTTGCCAAACTGGATTGCAGGCAGCTTGACTGGTGGGGTCACCACCAGTGAGGCGACCTGGTACGGTAGCTTGTGGCTACCTTAATTGGGACACCAGCTCCATGCAGTGCTTGATTTCTGTTACTCTCACATTCTTAGTATTTATATCCATTTCTTACACATGTTAAATGAAACCTAGTCACGTGCTATCCAGAGAGGCATCTCCCCTGATCAAGGAGCAAACTCTGCATCTCTGACAGGGGACCTGCACCTTTGCACTGCCACCACTCCAGGCTTCCAAGTACCCCGGGCTTCCAGTCCAGCTCCAGGCACAGCAACAGACTCAATATCCACCCCAGCAGTAGCTCAGCACATGTGCAATGACTTTTGTCTTGGACCCACTGGGAGCCTTTCTGCTCTTAATTATATCCATGAGCTCGTCTCTCAATCCTGAGCTACGTAAAGTTGTATTTATAGAGTAAAATAAAATCTGATCTCTTCCTGTGAAATATCATCAAAGTAATGCAGCACCATAACAGCACGTTAGTAGTGGCAGACTGAGTATTTGCATACAGACTGGGTGCTTCGTCTGGTTACAAAATATTTCTTAAATCCACTGTCATCCACCCTTCACAGAATATCCTTTAGCAATGCTTTCCTTAAAAAAAAATTAAAAAGGAAAAAAAAAACCCTTAATTTTAATGCCTACCGCTTTGATTTTTATAATATTGCACTAAGTCTTTTAAGCAAGTAATTTTCTGGAGAAAAATACTGATGGAAAAAAGATGCTGTGTACCTTTTAGAAAACTTGATTTTAAAATGAATGGGGGACACGTATCCAAAACAGCTGGCGTGACACGCAGTGCTGTAGCCACAAGGCTGCTGTTTGTTTTAGAGGGGGAGGAATCCGCTGGGCTGCGTTTCCACTGGTGGGTTCCCAGCCCGCGTGCCCGGGTTTGGCACCGCAGAGGTGCAAGTCTCATAGAAAAACACTTCTTCTCGCAGCACTTTTAGTTTTCCTGATGCTTGGAAATCCTGCAAGAGCTGCTTTTGTCCTCTGTTATTTAAGCACTTCTGCCTCTGGCAGAAAGGGAAATGTGCTTTTTAAATGCATTTTGTATTTTTTAAACGCATTTTCAGGAGAGAGTTGTCCCCTGCTCCTGGCGGACAAGGAGCCGGCAGAGGCACTCGGAGGGTTGGGATGCCGCTCCCCCGATGAGGAGGAGGAGGAGACGCAGCGAGGAAGGCCCCGTGAGTCACCCATGGGGAGAGAGTTATCCCCTGCTCCCAGAACTGGCAGAGGCACTCGGAGGGCTGGGATGCCGCTCACCCGATGAGGAGGAGGAGACGCGGCGAGGAAGGCCCCGTGAGTCACCCATGAGTCACTGCCCCTCGGGGATGGGGACTCTCCCCATCACAGGCAGACACCGTGATGCTTCACAGGGACATTCCCTTCCTAGGGAAACCTTGGGAACAGCCACCACATTAACAGACCTTCTCCCACCAAAACTCCCAAGCCAGAATTCTGAGACCCTCTGAAGGAAAGAAGAGGAAAGAGCACAAAAAGTCATGAAATAACCGCTCGGATAGAGCCATGCATCGGGGCTCTGCAAGCAGCATGGGAGGACGGTGTCCCGACAGCAAGGACAGCCACGCGGGAGCATTTGACGCTGTTTTGCCCCCAGGCAGAATGTTTTCATCTTTGTCTCTGCACTGCTTAACTTCAAACAGTCTGTGCTGACATAACAGCATTAACTGCACATAGAAGGTAGAAATCAAAAGGATTGGCCTGTCCAAAATGCATAAAATAAAGGAGAACTGGGTCTCAGAATCATCTGCCGTGTCCAGGGGGCCTATGAGGCATCTGCAACTGCGATTACAGTTGATTTGATTTAGTAACTGAGCCACTGAAAAAGCACTAGGAGCTAATGAAGTCAACCATAAAAATCAAACGATGCTTAGGTGGAGTCCACAGCAAGAATGACAATAATCCCAACCAAACAAGAACTACGTGCATGTGAGGTATCGTTCTAATGATGATTGATGCTTCTGTTTGGATATCATACCCCAGCTCGCAGTAGCTGAACAGGTTTCTAACAGATCTGTCAGCAGTGGCAATTCCTGGTCTTTAAGCACCAAAGCACTGTTGAATATAACCATTCTGCAGCTCACTCACTGACCTTTATGTTTAAATATCATGATGTGGCTCCATCTGTCTCGCTGCTTCACTTTTATAGTTGTGAATGTACAAACTTTAATTTGAGACAATCAATATTTGCTTTTGCTTTAACTTCTCTGGATACACACATTAGACGGAGCTTTTGGCAGAAAGATGAAGGAGGTCAGGAATAAAATGAGAAATACAACTGCGTTCATAAATACCCCTCCAACTTACTATTTTTTGCCGAAAATGATGAGAAATCTTTTGATTATGCACACTCAGAGAGCTAACCAAAAGCAGGAAGACTATATTAAAAAGAAGTGCAAGATCCATCCATAGCAAATGTGGGGAAATTTGGTACAGAGAAAACTTCCACAAAACTATCAGCTTAGCAAATTTGTCATCTTTAAAACATACATAAAGGAGATTTTTTAGAATTCATTGAAGGGAATAATTGAAGAAAGTCCCCAGCAAAGATGCGATTTTCATTCTCAAGATGGATGTACTAGAAATAATAATGCTGAGATGATGGCCGGACCCAGGATGCCTGAACGCCACAGCGGCGCCCTGCCACAAACCAGGCAAACCACCACTCGCCTCCCTGCTTACAGACCAAGACGACTAAGCCCCAGCTGATAATTTAATAAAAGGTTACAAAGAGCTGATTATTGCATAAATTAAACCTGCTTCAACCGAGATGAAACTGCAAATCAGCACCATTTTTGATGAAGCGTTGCAAGAGCGATCATGAAGACGCGCAGAGTGCGCGCGCTGCACTCTGCAGCCAGCATCTCCTCCAACGTGATCCCACCACACGCATGGCTCACCTGGGAACACGCTGCCAAAGCCAGGAAAACAGCAGTGGTTCCACTAAAGACGATGAATATTTCTGGATTTGTAACCCCAACGTCTTACCCACCATGGCTGCCTCCTGCAGGATTTTACTGTTGTGGCTCCCTGCTCATTTAATGGTTTGTCTTATTTGGCAAGTGTTTAACACCACAGGTCAGTGAAACATTGAGGAAATAGAGATTTTTGTGCTGCTTCAGGGCTATGAGACTTAGCATTAAGCCCTGATGAGAGATCTGATTGTGTCAGCACTCTTTGGAGGAATGAATGAGTTGTTGGAAGAAGGTAATTCTACCCTCTCTAACCCAAACCAGGATCATACCAAAAGTCTTGCTTCAAACTTTGGGGAAAATCAAAACGTCAGGCTGCATTAGGAACATTTTGGGTGATTCTTTGCAGTCCCTTATAGGGCTTTTTTTAATTAGCCAATTAAAGGTTCTCTCAAACTGGCTACAGCCTTTACACATTATTCACGATCCTTTATTCATGACTCTGGGGTCAGTAACTAGCAGAGAAACAAACTTACTGCTTTATTTGAACAAGCATGACTGATGGACTGAGAGGTTCAGGAAATTTTCTTTGCAAGTCTCTCCAACTGAAGACTAAGTGGACTATTGTGCTGATTCTGCATGTGATTCTGTGCCCGCCTGTGATTTTATGCTTGCAAATGTACACTGCTTTTCAGTCAAGCATTGCACCGATTTCTTAATGAACAACCTGTTACCTCCTTCCCAGGCAGCAAATGGGGCTAGTTCATCACAGAAACCCAGCGTGGAGCTGGGGGCAGCTGTTCTCACTAAACATCTCTGCAGAGTTCCCTTTGGGTTGGCTATGAATCGTCCCTATTCACTGTGTTCCTTGGAAGGTCTTCCAAAAAGGCACACACATTATCTGGGTCAGCTTTCCGCAGCCGATTGCAGGCATCCCTGGAAAACGATCAAGGCGACCTCTTAAACCACCCCGAGAACAAGGAAAAACGAACACTTCCTAGCGGATCAGATGGCACTTTGGAGATGGGGAGACTTTGCAGGCAGGGGACAACTTGCACCAAGTCTCTGCTGCTCTTTGGTGGGACGAATCCCGGCTGCGGCTGGGGAGGTTCATGCCAGCACAAGGTGCTTAGACCCTGTCTGCAGGGCAGTTGTCTCCTTAAAAGCTTTTCCTTCAGGATGGTTTTCAAACTTGAGAGCAAACATGGCATGAATGAATTCACTACTCACAAAAGAAGAGCTATTGCCTTTTTCACTGAGCTTCATTTCCACGGATTTCTTTTTCTTTCTGAACCAAGACTGCCCACTGCAGTTAATTCAGCTCTGAGCTGAGGCCAGTTGCCTTCATTTCACTGGAACACGAGTTTGAGTCACCCAGGCCAAAGATACAAGTCAAGGTCTGGGAGGTAAAAGGCCAACAGATTAGTCATCCACCATCCAGCCCAGCCCCAAATCTGACATTTTGCACAGTGAGAACAAGTCTAGAGGAGATTTCCCCCCCATCTATTGTTGAGGAACTCAGCTTGCAGTAAAATAAAACATAGATACAGTAGTTGAGCAGGGAAGCAGCAGGGGCAGTCTGTCATTCCAGAGCTCTTCCAAATAATTCCTTATACCAATTCATCGAAATAGATTTGTTCCTTTTTTTTTTTTTCTTTTAAAGATTGTGTGAGTGTGTGTATAAATTATTAAACAAAAGCTCCACTCAAAATAAA